CATAGTTTATTACAAAAAGAATGTACGTATAAATGAACACATATATGTCCCAGTGTTGATTCCTGTAAAATAAAACTAAAGTATATCTTTGATTGTATGTAAGATTGATGTTTGATTTCATATGATGGTTGTACCTATCGTGGATGTTTATATGAACATTGTAACTCAAAAATATCAAAATACAAAAATGTACGTTCACCAAAAATCCTACCCAAAACAAATGACCCGTTACTCGGACACTTGGAATAATTCTAATCATTCTGCAAGAATATCATGTTCATACACATTCAATGTACATCGCTCAAGTATTATAGGTGGGAAACATCTGATTAATATATGTGAATTGTAGTAATCCCAGTACTTCAAAACCATTGAAGATAAGAATTTTTGCATGACCACAGACCTATTAGGTGATTTTCCGTTCAACTGGGAGATCTCGCGAGTTGCATGAAAGACGCGCGCCGAACGTCTGTCCCAAAAATCGAACGATTTGATTTTAAACTCGAATTTCGTAGCTCATATAGAAAAGCCGATCTTTGACAGGGGAATATTGCGTTTGAATACCCTTCCTTCATCGAATTTGACCATCATCAAATATGTACAGAACATTATTAAGCATGGAAATATCCCCCAAACTATTTTTGCGTTTGTCGAATCCCACGCGATGTTCGTCGCCACTATGACGCTACGACCTTTGTTTGTCCTGCTTTTACATTCGATTTCACGCATATCACGGGATCTCGCATTGAACGGAACATGGTCTATTCGTAACTTACAAGCCAACATACATGAGTCATCAACGTTGTCACCAACTCTCAGAAAATAAAAATTAAATCCATCATATACTACAGAAAAGAAATTCGAAACATATTCAACTGTGATACTGCAGTATGGCATGATTCGTATTGAAACTAAGTATGGCTGGGTGAAACTAAACCAGTTTCTCTTTCATTAATTCAAGCTGGGAATAATTTGAAACGATTTGACTTTAAAAAATCATCAAAAAACATCTATATATAAAGACAAGTAATAAATTTATATACATTATGTACACAATGAAGAAGTCAGTGTCAAATAAATAATCATGACCGTTGAATAAATAGTTATATTTTCACTTTAGATTGTTTAGTGCTATTATGTATACTATTATATTTCCCATAGCCCTGACAAATTAAATATGGTCTACACACTGGCCAAAAAGAATGAAAGTCTGGAAACTTCCTAAATCATGTGGTCTCCAGTTGATTGATCCTATTTACGATGAGTCAGTTTCAATCAATCAATCAAATTTAGGGTCAATATCAGACCATGATTATGTTAGTTAACCATCAAGCCTAGGCATATATGTTGAGGTCTAAGTCTAGGCATAGAAAAGCGGATATATTCCAAGCATGTGGCACACAGTTGCTTAAGCGGGAGGGTCGTCACCTGCGCACACGCGGGAATTAAGTCCCAAGCGACTATAACAACACAAAGGCTCATGGGTAACATCTGTTTACAAACAATGACACGCTATGAGCATCTGACGCATGTGCAGGTGACGACTCCCTCGCTTTAAGATTTAAACTTGAACTCTGAGAAGATTACAAAAGACTAATTTCCGTGTTCCTAACACATTTGTGATAGATGTGATGGAAAATATACCAGCATTCACCACCAATGTGCATTAATATGAACCACGGAAATGTGTAAATTTGGAAAGCATTAACCTAAAGAGTACTGATAGTTGTTTGCCAAATTGTTGACAACTATGGTTGCTGTGGGCTCCTGTTACTGTTCACAACCTTTCAATGTTTGGGGAAAGAACTGATTATATTTGTCTCACAGTACATCGATAAGGATAATAATCTTTCAACACAAAGACAAAATGCAAAGTATCTACCTTAAGATGCCAGAGGTAAAGCATAATTACAATTAATTATGCAAATGCCCTAATTAAAAAATCGCCATATTCACTGCTCTAATATCGAATTATTACACGATATTGTAAAAACTATATAATATGCAGGATTCCCTTCACAGTAGGGGCAGACTGTCCTGAAATTTGGATAATCAAAAGAGCATTATAACAATAGACATAATTCACATATTGTTAGGCAAACCATGGTAAGAACACTAATATGCAAATCAAATAAATTAACATAACAAACACAAGTGGCAGTATAATAGCAATAGTTGTGGTTAAATTCTAAAAAAAACATACTGTCAAGCACGTCTTTTTGTTACATACGATAGGCTATACTGTGGAATACTCCTTTTGCAGGAATTCATTTTCACTGTGCACCACATTTTAAGCGTAATGTGTATTCCCTGTCCCTGTAATATTAATATGCAAATATACAGGCGGGGACATTTATTTTTTCACTGGATTTTATTTTCGCTGATTTTAAAAACTCCCTCAAGCTAAAAGATGTTACAAAAAAAGTGGCTCACCCACAGTACTTTTAAAGCTTATAATTTAGTGATAGTAAATGAAATTTCAATCTTGCAATAAATCACCGATGAACTAGAGAAGGATGCTACTTCCATAGAATCTCATGTGGGAAATGGGGAAATATTGTCTGAGGTAGGACTACATGCTTTTCATTCTTTATTATCTGTTTATGACTCAGCTGTTCAAATTTGAACAGACAAGAAACAGTTCGAAATAACCTGTCTGTCCATCCACTCAGCAGTAACGATGATTATTCAAAATACCAAGCCACAAAATCCTTACGTCCGATTGGGAACCAATATCAGTGAGAATGAGCTGTACAATCTTATTGGTGATTGTTAGGTGCAAAATTAACAAAACACAAAAGGGCATGTCTGAATAGTTCCAGCAATAGTTCAAAGTAATACACCTTGTTTTTCGTCAATAAAAAAATTTAAGAAGTTTTCTATATTCTAAATACTTTTGCCTGTCTTAATTACAAACATAATTCAGCAATACAGAGCACTACGTATCACAAAGGTGAAGAGTGTATATGCTTGTATTGCCACAAATGCCAAAAATATAAACATGTTATCCAGAGTGGTATTAATAAATTAGCAAACTGCTGAACATCAATAATGTTTACAAAAACATAAACGAATTGTCTGGACTAGATACTGTTCATTGTCTTAGACACAAAAGACAAAAAGCTGAAACGTACATCTCCCTTTCTTTCTTAATGCGTGATGAGAAAACGGTCCCAGTATTGAAGTTACAAAGATTAATACATTTCATCAAGTTTCCAAATTGCTTCCCTGGCATGATATTTATTTGTTTGAAATACATAATGCAATAAACACGTTTCAAGGTTCAGAACTAACATCAAAATAATCAGACCAAATTTTATGCACAGATAATATTAAAAGCATTAGAATCATAGAACCTTAAACAAAAAAAGATGTCACAATTACCTAGATTGCAGAAAGGCGTTGATTGATAACCTTTCTGACATAGACCTATTAGTGCACACATAGATCAGTTACACAGAGAGTAAGCATGGAGCCCGTGGGCTACTGAGTTCACGGGATCCGATACAGAGTCACGCCCAATAGCAATATGTTTGAACAGATGATAAATCACAATGACTCAATGTGAAGGCAGTTTCACTTACGTGATCAATACTGGCTACTGGCTTGTCATGTACCTAGAGTAGCAGATATCAGTAGACGAGTTTCAGACATGGTATGGAGGGAGGGGGAGGGAGGGAGGGTGAGGGGAGGGGAGGGAGAGGGGGAGCAAACATCTAATACCAGATTAAAGCGAACATGGGATAAACCAAAAACAATTCTTAAACTTTGTCATTGTCATTTTGGTGTTTGGCTTAAATAGTATTTTCTCCATTTTAAGCATTTAGGTAAATAAGTATTACGACTAAAATAAGTTCCAAAGCAAAATTTGAAGTGAATTTCAATTGGTGAGTAAGATAAACAATAGACTTACTACATACATGAAGAGAGGGATCTCCTATCAACAATGAAAATGAGCCGCATATGATTAAAATTTTAATAATTAATTATATTATATTATAAAATCATATTTTGGTACACAATTCTTTGATTAGTGATTGATGTTAAGAGAGAAAAATTGGTTTATTTGTTTTCAGCAACAGTTTCCTAAGACTGGTGCACTGATATTTATATTTGTTAAAGAAACATACAAACTGCATCTCTACTTTGTGACATTCACAATGAAATTATTTATTCAATAGAAACTGTGAATCAGCATCTATGCTCAGAAATGATACGTTAAATATCTATTGAATTTACTGGCAAGTCGTTTGAAAAAGAGATAATTCCAAGATGAGTTGGAAGAGATTTTTCTTCAAACTAAATTATATTTAAATTATGAATGAATAATTTATTTTATTTTTAGTTTGAATTTACAAATGCACTAATTTTCAACTAATTTTTGAGGTTGTAACATTATAATATAGACCATGTCTACTAATAGGATTCACCTTAGCTTACCGGCTTACATGGCACAAACGTACTGGTACATGTATCATTCACATATAAATTAAACATCAGGTGCAATGCCAGTAATTTAAGAAATAAATTATCACCAATTCAGAAGTCCTGTTTACCAGCCGTAACTCATTTTCTTTTATTTTGGTGATATTTTATTTTCATCTGGCTAGCACTAAACTAACACCGCTAAAAACTGTTACTTCTATAATCAGGAGAATGTTCGGCAGGGTAAAATTACTCAAAAGATGGGTTGAAATCTGAGAAAACACTGTTCACCCAAACATGTGACAAATTATATGGAAATGAGCTTGTTCTCATCGATACCATTGTTATTCCTGTACTCAACAAGGTTCAATGAATCAAATTAGACCAGAAAATCAAGAAAATATTCATACAAAATAAAATATTAAATTCAGTTTCAAAACTAACAATGTACCACTGTAACCCCACAATGGGTGAAATCAGCCAGGTCATTGCTGAGAAATCATTGTATAAATACAAACATACATAAACACTTATCCCACAGACACTTGTAATTCCATTATCCCCTGTTTCAATTGGTGCCAGATATGGGCAAATAAGAACCATATTGCCTCTATTTAATTAATTAACATAAATTTGAAGGTTGAATTTGTCTATACATTGTCGAGAAGGACGTCTCAGGCTTTGAACATAATCGTAGATGGCATAGTATCAAGCTTACTTTTCTCCTTGTAACAAGTTGAGTGATGCCACCAGACTTCTGGCTACACGTTTCCACCATATATATACCAAACATCTTGCACGTCTGACTTTCCAGACTAGAATGTCGACACAAACACTGTATCTGTGTAGGTAAAAAAACCACTAGTGGATGGGCAATCGGTAAAACCACAATTTACTGTAGAACTAACTAGAAGTTGATAACGCCAAATAACGTGGGAACCATTTTGAGTCCATCAAGCTGAGTCTGAAGAGAAGCACCATAAGCTTTCATATTATCAATATCACATTCTAATTTATTAGTTTTTTCCTGCAAAAAAAAAGAAAATTTTTTTCATTAATTTCTTAGACTCCAATGTCCCGTTTTGGGTAAATTATTCATAATTTTTTTAGAAAAAGAATTACCTCACATAGAAAACATTTTAAAATAGGTGATATACCTACAAATGAGTGACTCTTAAGTTCATATTAGTTATATTTATTAGATATATACACTATTTAATATGTATACACACAAGTTACCGATATGCAAATGAGTTTCTCATGCACATTAAGTTAATTTGTTTTTAGCAAATTATAAATATATATCAGGGCTGTTGATTAACATAAATATGTACACACACACACACACATACACGTCTTACCATCATTGTGATGGCAAACATTGGATTAACCTATAGTTGAATATTTGTTGAATATACTGGTAGTTGAATAAACTTATAATATAGTTGAATTAACTTTTAATATAATTTTGTTATGTTTGGATTAAAACGCGACTCAATATGATTGTGATATAATTTGAGTTTAATTAAACTCAGTTATGTTAAAATTCAATATACAATTGTGTTTTAATTCAAGTTTAATTAAATAAAAATGCAACAGAGTAGAAATAACATCATACATTCCGTGACTTAACATAGAAAGGTTTGCGAAGCTTAGGGTTAGGGTTAGTAAAGGGGTTAGTTATGATACAGTTATATTAATATAAAGTGTACCATACCTTCCCAATTTACTAAACCTAAGCTATGCAAACTTGACTTTAATTTGATTATTATATATAATAAGTATTAATATAAATTATGAAAAATAGTGAGGGTTGTCACTTGGTAGATGTAAAGTTAAATGGAAATGCACAGAAATGAGCTACTAATGATATGAAAATGAGTTTCTCATGCAAATTAAGATAATTCGTTTTATGCAAATTAGGCTAATGTGTTTAATGCAAAGTACAAATATATATCAAGGTTGATAATTTGCCTACCTTGAACACTTCTAACTGTTTGTTAAGCATTTCATTTTGATCTTGTGAAGAGCATAAGCATCTTCTAAGTTCTCTCAATTCCATTTCTCGGACTGGAAAACAAACACAACACAACTATTATACTAATACAACTGTATAAATAATGGCTTCTTATTTTGCCTTTAATTACCATTAAATGTTATTCACTAGAAAAATTGCAGACGGATAGCAGCGCTGGCGACAAAGAAGATGACGAACAGCTCTCCCTGCAAGCACAATTTGTTGATTATGTCGATACCGTTGAGAAGTGAGTCAATACTGATGTATAAGCAGGATATCCTAAAGTTCAACATTCATTCACCGTAGGCCAAACCCCCGCAAAAGCCAAGAATTACGAGGAAACAGCAACAGATTTATTGATGTAATAAAATTATTTTTTAATGTAAGCAGCAGGGAATGATTTACTGAGGTTACATGTACTTTTGAAAATACCACTACACCACTGCATGGTTATTCACGAGTAGTAAAATAAACAATTACTGGATATAGATTTCAACATCGATTCTCACAAGAAACCTTTAAACACATGGACTGATGCTGTTTTTTCTCTTATTCATTTTTGCTGTTCGCAGAGAGCTTTCAGCAGGTCATGTGCAGAGAGAAACAATATATGCAAATTAATTTCAGAAAACCATTGTTGCTTGAGAAATATCAGTCAATTAATTATTGACTTGTGGTAATAGTATGCATTTAATTCCTATTGGCACAGAAAAGTATGTAAAATTATGCATTAAACTTTTCACCACCAGTTCCCTCTTTTCATCACAAATTCACAAAATAGTCCTGTTTATATTGAATCAAACTTTACCTGTTGGCTCCAAAATTAGGGTCTATTTCCAGAAATATTGAAGAATACAAGAAAAAAGGGCAGAAATATTTGGGTGAGAAAGTCTGGTGGTGAAAGGGTAAATTTGATGGAATAAAAAGCTCAAATTCCAAATATAGACGAACTTTTTGTGACTTTTAAGTGTAGTTTCATCATGTCACATTTTAATCTTGACAAGATTATCAAAGTATACCAAGCCACTCACCTACGTTCAATTCTACAAAATCGTTTTTAAATTTTTCTAAATCTACTGGTCCTGTCATGTTCTGTGTGTTTGCTCGCGGTGAATATGCTCCACTGGAACTTGGTGAGGTGATGAGATCGCCTTGTGAGTCCATGGTGTTGCTGTCTTCCATTGATGGGTTGTTATGTTGCTGATTTTCTAGTTCCAATGTTTCCCGCTCAAACTCACCTTCAATAAAAATAGAAAATAAAAATTAGAAGAATTGAGTTAATAGCGTAATACGTGTATCACTAAGACATTTGTAAAGAATGTTTCCATAAATCATGTATAATTAAAAACACATTATGAGTGTTAATTGAGAAACAAACTGCGATGAATAATATAAAACTCTCATATACCAATCATCATTCATTTATTTAACCCAGTGTTTTGTTTTTGACGATAATTCGTTTTCATTTGCTGGCATCAGAAGCATTTTATTATTATACAAATACATTGCTGCCTGATGTGAGAAGTAGAAGCTAAAGTGAGTTCTGCAGTAGATATAAATTGTTTGTTATTAAGTAAGCAATATATAAAATGAAATATATATTAGTGTTTTCAATCATAAACATGTATTATAATGTCTAAAGAATGTGTATGTCAAACTTGAATGTTGGCATCTAGTGTGCATATAGAACAATCCTGATGTGGAAGAATTTTTATTGTATATAATTGAAAAAAATTGCATTTTATTCAAAATTGTTAACAACATTATGCAATATGTCCAAGATCTAACTTCACACTGATATTATCCACAGTTGACAATTGAGAGATGACAAAATTAATGTACATGTATACAAAATAATTAATGTACATGCATGCATGCATGCCAAGATGTACTGTCTAAATGTAGTAATATCGAGTTACATATATTGTATATATGGCTGAAAAAGAATTTGTCAAATAAAAGTGGCCACCAGTCAGCCATCTTAGACCCAATCTTGAAATCATCACACATGCGTATGTTTCAGACATGTTTTTGTGACAGTAGTATTTGAAAGGTTTGATGAGAATTATCACAGTAAGTCTGAGACACATCTCCGCACGCATACACACACATAGTTACATAGACATATGCACAGAGACTAAACCATAAGTCCTTGTTTTGGAATAACTAGAAAACATTAAGTGAAATGGCAAATATTAAATTCATATGTCAAGTTTATTGTAATTCATGCCTTAATGGAAAACTGATTGCTTTTAATATCAACAAGAGATTAAACTAAAACAATTTAGTAAACAAATGTTACCCAGTATATCAAATCAAGTCATTTTTACTGAGAAACAACTGTTGTTGTTTTTTTATTTAGTTTTATTGATCATATTGAACAAATGATCAATAATAGTGGCTCCCAGTACATTTGTAATTGACGAGAATTGTTATTGACTGCTCGGCAACATGTATATACCAATGATGTAACATGTATCATGACATACACATGAAGACATCTAATTCTTTGGCATATGGAATCACGTCCTAAACACCACAATGTGAAAAAATAAATTAATGTGCGTCAATGTCCTATTGTGTTCAATGTACAGTGTGTACCAAGTTTAAAACCAAATCAATCACAAGCAGGCCCATGAATGTGTGAGATATGGCTGAATATGGATGGACAAAATAACAAACAAACAAACTCATGCACATGTACTAGATGTAAATGTAGGTTAATCCAGAATTCCCTGTTTTTGAATTTTGTCTGAATGATGATTAACAAGCCATGCATGCCACAGTCCCCGTTAGTTATCAAACCTAAGTTATACACTTTTGTTTATAGTAGTATAGTACTATTAAGTCCATATTAAGAGATATTGCTCTAAAACAGCATTAATTGAAACAAAATGGCCACCGGTCAGCCATTTGTACGCAAACTCTCCATGCAAAGCAATTCCCGCCAGCACTATTTGATCTAACAAGTCTGTGCCATACTAACAAAGTTTTACGATTATTGATGATGTATGTTTTTTAAAGCTATGCCGTAGTGAATTTCCGTGTTTCAACAAAAAAATGGCAATTTTTTTCCTGAAAAACTGGTGATTCAAAATTTTCGAAAGGTAAACTGAAGTATTTAAACACCTTTTAAGCTCACCAACAGGCCACATTGAAGAATATTTTACCTGTTCACACCCTATTCAGGATAGTTTCGGAAAAGTAAAATGATGTCCAGTGACCAGGTTTCACATACCAAACAACCGTACTATGCATGATTTTTATGCAATGAAACATCCTTTTTACACGCATATTTTATGTACACGCATTTTTATAATGTACGTACCAAGTTTGTAAACAGCTGAGAAGTACAAACATGGCCGCCATTCAGCCACTTTGAATCAGATTGTGAAACAAATTGATGTACATATGTATAATATTATATATGAAGTATGTGTGAAGTTTGAATGTAATCAATCCAGGCACATACACACGAACACACGTCTGAACGGGGACTAATAAACTTAGTGATTCAATTCTTAAGTTATAAGTATAAATGATCAAAAACAAGCCATGCATGGCACAG